CCCTCATGGAAAGTAAACTGTTCTCCCAGGGGACAGAGAGCATTTTGATGTAGGACATCTTACACAGGCAGCACAGGAAAAAACTGATTGATGACAGTCATCCAGATAACCTTGGAAAACTAGGTTGCCCAGACCAGTTATGCTTTTCCATATATGTACAGCATGAATATTTTGCAAGGGATGCCAGGATATAGCCACTTAAAACAATAGCTAATAACTTAAAAGATTAGGAACTTCTTCTCAATTCTGAAAAAATAATGCAGTTATATGGAAGCACATTTTTGAGTCATCCCCCACTACACACACATGGAGCGACAGAAGGAAAAGGAAAGATAATTATGTTTCCCAGCTTGAGACTGGCCTGTCAATCCAACCTGCTTGAAGCTGTCATTCAGCTTCCAACACTGTGTTTTGTTTATAAAGGTATACATCCAGTGCTCATTCATGATGAAAGCTCAAAACACTAGGAAGAAAAAAAAACTTTTTCAATCTGAAAGAGACTCTATATACTAAAAAACCCAACACCAACAACAAAGACCTTCAGCTAACATAACATTTACTGGTGAAATGGTGAATCTATTCTCCTAAGATCAGTAAGAATTTAAAGTTTTCTACTTTTATCATTCTTATCCAATATTACCATACTGTAAATCCTTACTGGAGCAATGGGAAAAAGTTTTTAAAAAGTCATGAAAATTGCAAATGAAAGAACCTGAAGTGATCCTGTCTTCAGGGAAAAAATTATCAATATGGAAAATCTCAAAGAATATTTTAAAACTTCTAGAACTAATAAATAGGTTCACCAAGGTTGTAAGATACAGTATTAACATTCAAAAACAAGCTACATTTCTATATAAAAACAAGGGAAATGTGAAAAAAACATTAAAAATATAATACTATTCACTGTCACTCCAAAGAAAATGAAACACATTAGGAACAGATATAAACACAAGTAGAGGATTGCTATGCTGAAAACTATAAAATGTTGATCAAAGATATTAAAGAAAATCTCAAGAAATGGAGAAGCATAACATGTATTGAAAGATTCAACTTAGAAAAGATACAGATTTTCTCCAAAGTAATCTATAGATTTGATTTAATTCTTATCAAAATCTCACCAAGTGGGTTTTTGCAGACAAACTTATTCTGAATTTGTATGAAAAATTAAAGGACCAACATAAATAAAGTGAGAGGGTTGAGGATTTGGCTCAAGCTGTAGCCCGCTCGCCTGGCATTTGTGCGGCCCAGGTTCAATCCTCAGCACCACAAACATAGAAATATATTGTGTCTGCCGAAAACTAAAAAATAAATTTAAAAATCTCTCTCTCTCTCTCTCTCTCTCTCTCAAAAAATAAATAAATACATAATAAAGTGAGAGTGAAACAGACAAGCTGAGTCAGTCTTAGCAGGTTAACAAACATAACAGAAAATTAGGAGTTAAAAAGTATGGTAGTCTCTAATGCTAGCTTAACACACAAGGAGACAGGAGTTTGAGAAGTCAGTTCAGCATTCTGAGGCTATGAATACATCAGAAAACACCAACAAGCCAGAGGCAAAGACCAGTTCATTACAATAAAACCCACTGAGAGAGGCCACTAGCCTGCCCTGTTCTGATAATAATACTAGGGACTCCCCCAGATTAGGTGTCACATGTTTTTGAACTAAGGGGCAAATGCATGCATAGAAAAGTTAAGATGGTAACTTTTTGGTTTATATATGTATATATTTGTAGATGAACACAATATCTTTATTTTATTTTTTTTTTTTTTTTTATTTGGTGGAGGGGACTGAACCCAGCATTTTACTCTTGTTAGGCAAGCACTCTACCACTGAGCCACACAACCCTGGTCCCAGGATGATAATATATTTTTTCCTTTGCTTTATTAACATAGTCACCATCCCCCAAGGTAGGTACTTAAAATGGTAATGAGACTCATTGCAAGAAAAATCACAATGGAGAGAAGAGCACAGACACAACTAAAATAAAACAGAGTGACAAATAGACACACCCTATCAGCCCAAATGGATGCTTGACAATGGTGAAAACAGAATGATCAAAGGGTGGACAGTCTTTCTAAAGATGGTACTGAAACAACTGGAAAGCCACAGGCCAAGAAAACAAGACAACAACAGCAAATGAATCCTCACTGAGTTTTACAATGAGCATGACGAAGATCATAGGTGTTTACGTAAATTGTAAAGTCTATAACTTTTAGGAGAGAAACAAGAACAACATAGAAGTCAGAGGCAAAGCTTTTCATGTATTAGCCTCCCCCATAAAAGCCAATACTTGCTCTTATGGAGACCCTGTTAAGAGGAAAAGACAAGTGACCCATCAGGACTTTAAAAGACTAGCAAGAGTGAGCCTTGGGGATTACTATATCCCAAGAAAGCTGATGATTATATGGATTTATCCACAGCAGCAATTTTGCCCAAATGTACATAGGCACACGTGTACACGGGCACATAAAACCAGTGAAATCTAAATAAGTTCTGTGGATTGTATCAATGTCAATCTCTGGTTACTCTAGTAACAGGAATAGACTACATTCAGAGATAAGTAATATGATATTCAAAGCATGTCAATTGGAAAAAACAGAAGAAAAGTTATATGAAACCTCCCTGAACAGTTTTGGAGCAAATTTCTGTGAAGCTGTGATTACTCCAAGACACAAATTTAATCAATAAATATTTGTATTTTTTAAAATAACCTGAGCATACACTTCACAGAAAATGACATACACTCAATCAACAAATATATGAAAACTATTCATCATCTCTAGTAATCAGAGAAATGCAAATCAAAACCACTATCATGTCACTCCAGTCAGAATGGCAATTATTATGAAGATAAACAACAATGAATGTTGGCGAGCATGGGGAGAAAAAGGCCCAATCATACATTGTTGGTGGGATTGCAAATTGGTGCAGCCAATATGGAAAGTAGTATGGAGATTCCTTGGAAATCTTGAAATAGAACCATCATTTGATCCAGCTATCCCTCTCCTTGGTCTATACTCAAAGAACTTAAAATCAGCATACTACAGGGACACAGCCACATCAGTGTTTATAGCAGCACAATTCACAATAGCTAAACTGTAGAACCAACCTAGATGCTCTTCAGTGGATGAATGGATTAATAGGGTGGGGATATATACACAATGGAATTTTTCTCCACAATGAAAGAGAATGAAATCATGGCATTTGTACATAAATGGTTGCATTGGAGAAGATAATGCTAAGTGACGTTAACCAATCCCTAAAAAAACGGATGCTCAAATTTCTTCCCTGATATAAGGAAGCTGATTCATAGTGGGTTAGGGAAGAGGAGCATGGGAGAAATGGATGAACTCAAGATAGGGCAGAAGGGTTGCAGGGAAAGGAAAGGGGCGTGGTTACCAAAAATGATGCAATGTGATACACATCATTATCCAAAGTACATGTATGAAGACATAAATTGGTGTCAACATACTTTATATACAATCATAGATATGAAAAATTGTGTTACATATGTGTAATAAGAATTGTAATGCATTCTGCTGTCATTTATTTTTTTAAAAATAAATTAAAAAAAGAAAAAAGAAATTTAAAAAAATGAATGCTTACCGGCCACTTTGTAAAAACAGAATAATGTTCTTTCACCAGCACTGTTTTGATCATCTCTGTATCTGTAATAACCAACACAGGCTGTTGACCATCATACAATCTATATTGGGAAAGAAGAGCTCATTAAACCTACTAAGGCATATTTTTCAGTTGGAGCAACACCCAAGAATTCAAACTGATATTTCACAATCCATATGCCTGACTGTAGAATGCACACTGACACTAGATACAAGTTCAAGGTAGGTGATGACACTCAACAAGATTCTGGCCAGATAAAATGAAGGTCATGTAACTGAAGCAGGGAAGAGATATTTAAAGATAAAAAAATTATTCATAGGAAGAACCTGGTTTGAGATGTCTAAATGGTACGTACGTGTTTTCTCTCTCATTCGTCAATAATTTTTGTATTTAAAAATGTTTCATAATCAGAGCAGTTTTAATCTACACTTCTCTAATTGCTAGATATGTTGAATGTTTTTCATATATTAATTGATCATTTGTATTTCTTCTTTTGAGAAGGGTCTGCTCAGTTTTTTTGTCCATTTATTGATTGGGTTATTTGATTTTTTTCGTGTTAAGCTTATTGGGTTGTTGGTATATTGTGAATATTAACACCATAAATTAAGTGCAG